GAAGGGCTCTCCTGTCCTGTGGCTTGAGTTTGATAAAGCAGCTTTTTGCTTATTGGGTTTAAATCAAAATCAGACCATTAGAAATTACTCTAGGTTAAAAGGGAGTGTTTTTATATGCTTGTAGAATTCAGTTGTATAATCTAGAGGTATAAGAGAACAATTTGTTTAATCTAGTTCTCCCATAAAGGACTGTAGCTCTAATTGCCTGCAAATATTCACAAATAACCACTTTGTTAATATGTTATGAAACAAGATACTGTTGGAAAACTTTGTAAGGATCTAATGTGCCAGCAAGACACAATGCAACCAGAGTTTCTGCTTTATTAATGCAGGACTGGATTGTCTCTACTGTAAAGAATTGTGGAATTTAATTCTAATTTTATCAATTCACTTGGTCTTTTGGTGGCTCTGGTCTCTGCTACCACTGTGACTTGCCTTTCACTGGGATTGAAAAATTACCTGAGCAGAGAAAGCGAACTGAACTGGGATGTCAGATACATGAACACCCTCAGAAGGAAACATAAGGAGTTTTCTCAGATAATACAGTTGCTCTAATTTATGCCATTTATCTCTTTTAATTTTGAGTATAATGAGCTACATTTACATATTTAGGGGACGTAGCTTGTGTTTTTATGTGTTTATGGAGCCTAAGCAATGGTCATTAAAAGGGCAGCAAATTAATTTACTTTTGAGTTCCTGGAGGGGCTATGAAGGTGTATTCTGCCATAGCAGATGTGTCAGCAGTGGTGGTTGGGTTGCCGCACAGTAGCGGCAGGGTGAAGTTGGGCTTGTGCTGATGGATTGCACTGTTTGCTGCTGCCGCTCAGGTTGTGAACCAAGGAATGATGTTGAAACTGGTTTTCTTGGTTTAACTCATAAACTTCAATAGTTAAGAGGGAAAACATAAAATATAGGAGGGACAAATGTGCTTATGGGGATTACGGGAGATGGGAAGAGTGCTTAAGAACGTTTTAAGGCTGAGTGACTGTTCTCTGTAGTAGCTGGTGAGCAAATGTTTCTGTAGGCTTGAGGACTTAAATGGCCAGAACGGTAAGGATGTAGAGCCTGGAGTTGCAGTGGTGAGACCGCCTTTCCTCGTGGTGCTGATGAGGATTTTCTTGATGGTGGGAGCTCTGGCTTAAGTGGTCAGAGTGACTCAGGCTGTGAAAGAAGCCTCGAACATTGAACTTCTGAAACTTGGAAGGGCCTTGTAATGCAATACATCTTTGCCTGTGTTACGCTTTGCAGCTCTGTTGAGGTGATTTAAAAGATCTGGTTAGAACCCACAGATGTCTGCAAGGGATGCAGGCTCACGGTGAGCTTGGAATAGCTTTCTGCTCTCTGAATGTCACTGCTTGAAGTTTGTGTAGATTTTCTTTCTGGGGTGGTAAACCCCTGGCTGAGTTAACACCTTGCAAGGACCAAGGTAGCATCTTGGCAAAGGTATAATTTGTATCATCAGTTGAGAACTGGCAGCTGATGGTATCTCTGACCTCCACATTTATGGCTTCAGTTTGTCATAGTACAACACGTGTGTTACTTGGAAAGACTTGAATGGTACCTTGCCTCATACAGATAAACCCTTCTGATTAAAGCTGGAGCAATGAGTTATTTCAGTTGCTGAACAGAGTCATAGCATTAGTAAAACTATGCAGTAATTACCAGCAGTAATCAATAAGACAAAGGTTAAGTCCAGAAGCACTGTTTTAGTGGTTAAAACTAAGAAGGGCTGGTTTTGATTTTAAAAACTTCTGTCTTCAAGTGTGTTTGAAAACTTCTGTTTAGTCTCATTGTAGGTTTGCAGAGTAGATGGTCAGCTTGAAATAGATAAAAGCTAAATGTCAGATTCAGGGCATAGTGTCTTTATCAGACTTATGTATTCTAAGCAAATTTTAGTACTGTTCAGCATCCAGTGTACTCTGACAGGCAAAACCATAATGGGCTCTGAAGGAATTTACGGACTAAACTTGATTTTTATAAATGTGTATGGAATGGGCAGTTTTAGGAATTTGAATTCCAGTAACTTTGCTCTTGCTTGATGGAAGAAAATGTCCTTCAAGTTTTTGGGTTTCTGTTTCCCCCAGGAAGAGAGGTGGGTTCCTGAGCTGTGTCAGGTCTGGGATGGCCACTCCAGGTGTGAGGTTGGACTGAGCTGGGTCGTGTCACTCCCCGGTCACAGAGGTGTGAGCTGAGTCACCACTGGGGTGGGACCATCCCGAGATGCGTCAGGCACGGCAGCTGCAGTGGCAGTAGCAGTGTCCTCATGAGACTGGTGGGGAGTGCGGCCGGCTCCAGCCAAGGGTGCATGTGGGGAAGCCAAGGAAGATAGGAAGGGGATTCTTGGATGTGAAGAGACAGGGGATCTTCTACTTCTGTTTATTTATGTATTTGTTTTCAAATGAGAAAGAAGAACCTGTACTCCTTGCCTCTCAGTGCTCTTATATATGCAGACTATTGTTATGGAATAAATATGTCTTAAGTTAGAAAATAAAACTTCTGCAGTGTAAGTGGTGGGGCTATTAATAAAAAACATGTCCAGTTTTATGTTTAATTAGTAGCTGTTACTCCATCGATGCCTCTATTTAAGTTCAGTCCCTTTTTCCTGTACTCAATATAGAGCAGATTAAAATTTTCTTTCAGCCATCTTCCCCCCCACCCCCCAAATAAAAGATCTAGCTCTGTCTTGACCCCACCTTATTCCAGGAAGCTGCTGATGCTAAAAATGACGGATTTCAGGCAAGATGTAATGAGCAGGTGTTGTTTCTTCACCTCTGGTTCTTTCCCAAGTTTCTCTCCTCGCGGGTGTTGTGGGTGTGCGGGGCAGTGGTGAGCGCAGGGCAGCGCAGGACTGGTTGGTCTGGCTCTGCTGAGTTGTGTCACCGCCTGCTCTGGCTGAGGGAAAGGCAGTGTGCAGCGACAACGTCCATCCGCTCTTGTTTCTAAAAGCGGCACAGCTGTATAATTAAAGTTGGGCCCTTTGAGACTTTTTGGTTTTGGACATTTTTGCTTGGGTGGTGTTTTTTTGTTTGGTTTTGTTTTGATTTAGTTTGGCGGTTTTTTTCTTCTGCTTGTTTTCATTTGTTTTGCTTTGCCTTCTGTTAAAGGGTGTACATGAAGGAAGCTGCCCTAAAAATACTTTTTGTTCAGGTGTAGTTAAAAAGTCACAAGGGGCGCTTGGAGCAGACACTTCAGAGAAGTGAGGTGCTGTAAATCAGGTGGTTGGTGACTTCCCGTTGATCAGCTGTAACTGGCCATAGCAGAAACAGTGCTTTGCCTGGAGCTGTGGAAATGTCCCCGTACCAAGATCCGTTTGTGAACGATTCAGAATTGGAGTGATGGAGCAGGCCAGATGTTGCTACGTGTTGGGGATACAGGAGGAGACGTTTGGGGTAACTTTGCATTTGAGGGGAGGAAATGCTTTTCTAACTAGATGGCGTGGCAAGGGTCGCTTTACACACATAGTTGTTATTTTTAGGCAAGTGCTGTAGTTGTATCTCCTAGCTGCAGTGACAAAACTGACCAAATACTGGAGTGTGAGGTTTTACTGGAGTTGCTGCTCTGATGCTGGATTTACTTACATTTGCTGCCTCGTGGTAGTTTGTAATACAAAGACCACCTTATGGTCTCAGTACCATGATTTTTACCATGGTAGTACTACAGACAGATTTTGGAAGCTTATGTTTTTATGTTCTGCTGTTCAGTGCTTCAAATGGTGCTTCTGTGTATGAAGAAATGCCTTGTTTTGTTCTTCTCCACAATGTTTATTGCTGTTGAAAGCGTTGCTATGTTCATACTGAATTGCAGAGATTCAGCCATTATAAGCCTTGTTTTTTCAGTACTTAAATTTATAGCAGCATTGCCCTCTAGAGGGCACTTCTTCTGATGATTTCAGTGGATTATTTTTTATATTAACTAATTTTTCCTCACTTTGTATGCAGTGCTCCTACCGTGTAGTGAAAAAGATGCGTCTGTTGTCTCTTTACCTGTCAGGAAGTGAGGTGTGGGACTAGAATAAGTGAAATGTTTGCTTCTGTTCTCTGAAAGGATGCGGTCTGTGCTATCAGTTTTCCACTGAATTCTTTCTGAAGTAGCTTTTAGGGAATAGGTCAAACTAACGAAATAACGGCTTGGCTGTTTGGAGCGCTCCTGTCCTAAATAGCTTTGCCGTGCAGTGCTGTGGTGTGCAGTGTTTGACATGGAAATCCAGCAGCAGGATGAGACACCAGCACCTTGCAGCCTAAGCTCACTGTGAAGCAGGCAGCAGAGCCCAGAGAGGTTTAGAAACAGGCTCCTTCCCAAAAGCATTGTCCAGCTTTCACAGTGGGCCCTGCATACCTGTGTCTGGTGGAGGGGCAGGGGGGACGTGTGTCCTGATCAGTCGGTGGGAAGTTTACAAACCCAGCTGCTGTCTCCCAAGTCTGAGTGTTGTGGTGTCCAGTTACCTTGTTGCTAAAAGCCATTTGGTCAAACATGTTTAATGCCTTGAGTAAACTAGGTGTTGTATACAGGCCCTTGTCAGGCATGCAAGAAATGCTAACTTCAGCGTTTTTCATAATGATGTTGCTCACAAAGTGGCTACAGTGAAGAAATCGAAAGTCAGTGCTGCTAAAATGATTTTGGTGGTGTCTTAACTAAGATTAAAACTGTCCAGTTGAAGCAGATTGTATGCTAAAAAATACCTGAAGTTCATGTTGATGCATAAGAAAAATAGAGTGTGTGTGGGGAAATAAGTAATCTGTGAAAGGGACAATTCTGATTTGAGCGCTATCTTGAGTATGACAGATTTCCTCTATATTCTGAATTAGCTTGTGTTGTCAGGTGTCCAGTGATGGCATCACTGCCTGAACCCAGCTGAAGTCACAGGCTTGTGGCAACTGCACCGTGATGTGGTGGGAAGAGGGGAATTAAGGAGGCGTCCAAGTCTCTCCAGGCTACTCAGTCCAGGTTGGAGATGTGTTTATTTAAGAGAAAGTAATGATGTCTGTTCTCTCTGCCTTCTAGATGGATTGAATCTTCTGTGTTGAATGCCTCCGGATTTCCTATTGGATTTCACGTCTGGAAAATACGTTTGATTGAAGCCACTCGGTGGCAGACTGAATTGTGGGTCCAGGGGTCCCAAGACTTCAGACCTTGAGGAGGCAGCCACTGCTGAGTTGCGTTAACCCGACATCACAGCCACAATGGTGCTGTCACAAAGACAACGAGATGAGCTGTAAGGAATGATTATTTCTAAGTTTGTGTCGCTCTTTCATTAAACTTCAGATACTAACTGTTGTTTCCAAAGAGATTTTAGAGTGGCTCTGCTCACGTGCTGATCAAGTTCCACCTATTGTGGTTTAGATCTCTTTAGTCTTCATTTTTGATATAACTGCTGCTATTTGATAATAGAATTGTGAAATGGTGAAAATACATTTCAAAGTTACGGCATAAAAGAATGGATTCTTAAATTTGCTATAATTTATTATCCTCTGTCTTGTTTTGACTTCAGTCACAAAGTTATGAAAGGATTACAGTAAGCAGTAGGCACATTGCAATATGGGCTCCGAACTGATTTGTGACTTGTGTTTAATCTTGAGTAAATTCTAACAATTATTTGCTATTTTACGCCCAAATGTAGATGCTACATTGTAATCACAATCTTTGACTCCTTAAGCTGTATTTAAAATGGAGGGTATATTTAAAGAAGAGGGGGAAAAAAATGCAAACTCGTAAAAATCCCCACTCCGGTCACCTAAAGTCAGTTTATGATGTGGAATGCTTTCCAGATGTTAAGGCTGGGAATAGGCTATCAGGTTCCAGGCTTTAGTTTGCCTTCTCTTCTGTAATAAATCAGGATAGTGAGTGGTGAGCAGCAGTCAGGATGGCAATGTCTCGCATGATCCTCTGTTCCATAAACCTATCTGGGGTTTGAGGTTTGGTTTTGGTGTTTTATTCCTTTTGAAAGTATGGACCAAGTATCATTTAGCATTTGGTATCTCTTGTTTGTAGTAGGCTCTCTATGTATTTTTTAATACAGCTTCTTTACTTTTCCAGTTATGATTCAATGCCCTTTATGTTAAATACAGTGTGCATTTGACTTTTTCATTTCATATACTTAAATACGGTTCCTCTGCTTCTTAGAGTAGAGTAGCAGCTGTCTTCAAATTTTGATTTTTACAACTGTTTGTTCATTAGATTTAGAGAAGCTCTGGGGCTTCAGCATGTTCAGGGTTGGTTGCTTGGGGTTTTTGTAGCAATTATCTGAAGTTTTTCTTCTGGTAGAAACTTCAGAGTACGTGTGTTAACGGGCAGTAGGAAGTAATGAACTGTTATGACTGGAAGTGGGAAATGACCAGAGATTTAGGATTTACTGCTGAGGAGGCAACACTTTGTCTTAGCATATGTGGTTTATGGGGAGCAAATTGAAATTGTGGTTGAATACAGAGTTATATTTAGAGTTGAATGTCTGAGAAGGGGTTGAATTTGGGTAAAAAGATAAGAAAGAAGAATGCCAGGAAAGCCATAGGAAGAATTTTCACGTGAGCAAATTCTTTTCAGAACCAAGTCATTATTGCTTCTCTTCAGCTCCCAAAGGGTATTCATCTTCTCTTGTGCAGATGACCTTCTGATTTTGCTTTTAAAAAGTATCTGTATGTAAGTCTGTTTAAATGTTGTGGTATGTGTCTTGTCCCTCACTCCCCATGTATGTTTGTACACACACACGCGTCCCTTCCCAACAAAGTGACTATAAAACAGGACTGGAGGCTGATAAAGCCACTGGAAGTCGTTTTACCTTTGGGTCTGTTGAGAACATTGACCTCTGTGACCTCTTCAGCAAACTTTCTTGTTCTGTATCTTGAAGATATTTATCTGTTTGGGGTAAATTTTGAAAATGCAGAGTTTCCTGAGTCTGGTTCCCTTAAACAAAAGGTCCTTACTGCTGGTTGAAGTCTTAGAGTAGTATTGGAATTTCAGAATTGTGCTGCAGATACTGTTCTTTGTTTTTTAGAAATCGAGCAATAGCAGATTACCTTCGTTCTAATGGCTACGAAGAGGCATATTCGGTTTTTAAAAAGGAAGCTGAGTTAGATGTGGTGAGTTCAAGATTCTTCATGTTTATTTCCAGTAAAGAGTTTATAATTTTACTGCATTTGCTTCCATTCTGAACACGTGTCTGCTTTCTACCTATTAGCTCGTGCAGTTTCAGCTGGAGGTGATAAGCTCATCTTCTTGTTATCTTCAACTAATGACTTAGGCATATTTTTAATATTTTTTTCTCTTTTGTCTAACTACCACTGATCTATACAACTCTGAGCTTTTCCTGTCATGGTCTGTTAAGGATCCAATCCCAAGAGGGCCTAGATTCTTCAAAATGAAAGGTCCTGGCAAACAAAGCTAGCAAAAAAAAAAAAAGACATGGCCCTTTGCTGACCTCACTGCAGCGGCTCCACGTGGGACTGGAGATGTCTCACGGGGGAGAGGCTGAGAGCAAGGCACTGTTCAGCCTGAGGAGACTCGGGGGATCTTATTGTTGGTTGAGTAGCTGATGGGAGGGAGGGTGTGAGGATGGCAGAGCTGCACTCTACTCAGTGCTGCGGGTGACGGGACAAGAGCAGTGGGCAGGAACTGAAACATGTGAAATTCTGTCTGAACATAATGTGATTTTTAAATGAATTGACCTTGAGAGTGGCTGCACCCTGGCCTAGGCTGCCCCTGGAGGTTGTGCAGCCTCTGTCCCTGGAGGTGCTCACACCCTGACTGGACACAGTCCTGGGCAGTCGGCTCTGGCTGACCTTGCTTTGAACAGGGAGCTTGGACTTCATGATCTCAAGAGGTCCTTTCTACCCCGAGCTGTTCTGTACTTAATATTAGCAAGACTGTCTCATAGTAGCACATTTAATTTTGGTTTCCTGCTGTTGCGTCTACCTCTCCTCCCCTCCCTGTAACTCCTTTTCCTAACTGTGCTTGTTCTTGTCACGGAACTCTGCATAAAAGCATAAACTTTCTGCAATACAAAATTAAAAAACTGAAGACTGTTCCCCTGTAACCACATCTGAAATGGTGTAAAACTGTGCAGCTTGGAGCCTGCCTTCATGTGGTCGTGTTTAAGAAACAGGATTGCTTTTGTCCTGTCTTTTAGCATACAGAGCAAATGGTGGGAGCCTGGTGTGTGACTGGAATTGGGTCAGTGGTTAAATCATTGCCTGAAAATGTTGAGTACCAGTTGGTTACCCATGTAGCGAGTTAATAGTTAATATAAGTTGGTCAGCTCTGGTAGGCAGCTCTGTTTTCTTAGACTGTGTGGATGCTGGTGACTTAGACCAGTCATTCTTACAACTGAGTTCTGTTGGTTTGCCTCTGTAACAGATGATTCTTGGTGTCATTTATAACCCTGCCACTTACTAGCATAGGAGGCCTGCATTTCAGCTGAGTTTAAGCTGCTCTGGAGACACCTGGATTGAGAAGTAAACTTGTGTGTGCTGACTTCGGATAAATCCTTGCCTTATTCTCTATTACAGTTCTTGCACTGTTCTCTTTCCAAAATGCTTGGTTGAAGTTTGTCTGAATTTCTCCAATCTGCTTCCAGTATCAAATAAGTAGAAATGACAAATTGGAATACTGTACTTATAATTGAAAATACTGATATCATTCCCTTATCTGCCTTATCTATCAACCTAATTAAGTCTTCCCTTCCCAAAGGTTAGAAAGGTGATCTAAATACACTGGGTGGCCCTGAGGGAGATAGGAAATGCAGCTGCTAAAAGTTCCACATGACTCTCTTGCAAGAAAATCTGAATTGGTTGGGGCTATACTAAAATGGCAAATAAAAAGTTAAAGGCAGGAATTACTTCTGTAAATGGGAGGGATTCAAGTGCAGTTTGGCAGAGAAGGATTTCATTTCTGTATTGATTAATCCTCCAGATAACACTGGCTTTTACAGATGCCCCTGAGGCAGCAGGTTAAGTCTGGTCTCTGGCCGAGGTAGCCATTCCTCAGAGCTTTAGTGGAGTAAGCCTCGCAGCTGTTATTCCCCAGGCCTTTGTTATTCTCCATCCAATTTACGGTTCCTCTAGTGTGAGATTGTCATTTTGTACACGGAAAGAAAGAGTGCGGCGTTTAATTACTCTTCTGTGCCTCTCATGATGTTTGTTTTTCTTTTGCTTTTCTTCCTCTTTCTTGTGTTAATAGGTGAGAGGATAGAAAAAAAGAGTAATTCTCTGGCTTTTCCAGTAACATCAGCTCTTGATCGATGCTCCTCAGCTATTCTCTAGACCCCAAAGAAGAAAAATACTTAGTGAAAGGAAACCATTCTTCATTAAGTTCCTTAGCACAACTAATAGAAAAAGTTTCTACCAAGTCCTAGTGCTGGCACGGTCTGAGCTCTGGAGGTCGGGGTTGATGAGTTCCCAGTGCTCCAGATGGTGAATATTGAGAACTCGCTGCCGGTTCTGGACCTTGGTCCTTGCAGCAGCGCACGGTGTTTGCTGCTGGTGGGTCTAAAGTTGGGCAGAGGGATGGCACGAATCCGGGACCACAGTACAGACCAGCATTCTCAGATATGCAGAGCACTTCCAGACCTTTCAAGTAATGAAGATAGAAAACAGCATAGATAACAGTTCAGTCCTGGGTTTTGGACTTTATTTGCAGTATCTAGCGTCATTAATCTGTAGTGCTGTGGAATTATCCTTTAGGATGTTTTCCTTTTTTCTCTGCAGGTAAATTGTAACACTTTTACAGACTTTAGAACTAGAATTTATTAACTTATTTAAATGCTTCTCCTCAGAATGAAGAGTTAGATAAGAAGTATGCCGGACTTCTGGAAAAAAAATGGACATCTGTTATAAGATTACAAAAGAAGGTAAGTAGAGATCTGATGGGTTTACTTGCATAAAAGGTTGTGACTGAAATCAAACATTCGTCGCTGAACAGAGCGTCACATGCTTTCCTTGTCAGACAAATGCAGTGGTTGCAAAATGATGCCTCAAAGATGAGTTTTGAGGGCTTGAGGAGGGAAAATGGCTAAACCCATGTTGTAGACAGTGTTTTATCTATGCCGGTGCCAGCAGAGACATCCTCTTGGTTTCTTTATAAAATTCCTTGACTTCAGTTTACGCGTTGCCTGTGCAGTTTCTGGAGCTGGAAAGTAACAAGGTGCCTTGAGGCGGCGAGGGGAAGGCTGAAGTGCTCTGCGAAGGCTGAGCTGGTGCAGAAGGAAGGCAAAGCCCTGTGTGCCGGTTGTCTTTGGCCATGATGCTAAAGGAAGAAATCATTCACTCCAGTGCATTGGAGCAAGTGATTCTGCTGCAAATAGACAGGACAAAACTCTTCTTAGTGACACTTCAGTGGATCTAGAGTGTTTTTAAATAAAAAAACCAACCAAACAGCATGCTGGCAATAAAGAGCTATCTATTGTAAAGGTTGATATGGGTAGGGGCTTATTACACCGTCAGTTTCTCTGCTGCTGGTTAACATGAATGGCATCTCAGGGACACAAAGAGCCGTTGCAGTAGCAGCATTCCTTATTGTTAACATGACCTCCTTCAATGGTTTGTCAGAACAGGAGCTCAAACATTTATACGCTATTTGAGTCAACATGATTTTGTAGAGCTTTTATTTCCTGACAAAATATTTGGGAAGTTTGAGGAGAATAAATGATTAATTATTGAATTGTTAAAGAATAAATGATAAATGTTTAATTTAGGTTTGATTTTTAGAAATACTATCATTATTGAATGTTGGTAATCAGTTTGGATCCATGCAATCTTTGCTTTACTGTGAGTCAATTGGTATTTGGATTATTGAGTGAAGGTGAATCTTGGTGTAAAACTACAAATGAATGTTCTCTTTAAAAATTCTTAAACACAGGTAATGGAATTAGAATCGAAGCTGAATGAAGCTAAGGAAGAGTTTACATCAGGTGGACCTCTTGGTCAGAAACGAGACCCTAAAGAGTGGATTCCTCGCCCTCCAGAGAAGTATGCGTTGAGCGGACACAGGAGCCCTGTCACTCGGGTCATTTTCCATCCAGTGTTCAGTGTTATGGTCTCTGCTTCAGAGGATGCCACAATAAAGGTACACGTTTGCTGCAGAAAGTTTAACTGAGCAGAGTTGTATAATGGGTGACATTGGTGCTGCAGCCTGGATGTGCATCGTGATGGAAGATGGTTTCACATTCTGCTTTAGCATCAGTAGGAACAGTGCTTTCAAAGATGGTGTCCTGTATAATCTGCAAATTTTAGTTTGATGCTGGTCCAATGAATATCTTTAAGAGTATTTTACTGGCCTTTCACTTGAGGAAAAAAATAATCAAGCTAATGTGCATTTAGAGACTGGAGAAACAGGTAAAGGATCGGTGGGGTAAGTGGCACAGTGCATAGTGTAGTGACATGATGAGGAGGACAGTTGCCTCAAGTCATCTGAAGTGGTTATTTTTAAAGCTGAGTTACAGTGGTTATGCAGCTCTGTTCTCAACCAAAAATTGGTTCTTCCCATTTATTCCAAATGCGACGTGCAAGTCGCATGACTTCAGTAACTTTAAATGGCCCCATTGCAGTGTACAGTGGCATGAAGAGACTTGTAGTAGGCAAGTAGTTTCTCATTTTGGCATCTAGAAGAGACATGATTGTGCATTTAATTGTTGCCTGAATGTCACAATTTAAGAGAACTTTCCTGATAAAGGATACTTCTCATTGTTCTGTGCTGCTTCGAAAAACATTTGGAGAAGTGCTGATCTGAAAAATGCCGAGTCGTGTGTTAGGTGAGGTGCTAAACACGTGAGTTGTTCCAGTCATGACTGCCTGCTGGAGAAGATTAAAATAAGAAGCGTCAGCCAGATGTAGTTCATGAAAAGCTTTAACCTGTTCCTGTTTCTGCAGCAGGCTTCAACGTAGGGGACTGGTGGTTTTTGTCAAGCAGAGAGGGCCAGCTGGAACAGCGACAGCTCTGTTCGTTGGGTGCTGTAGAGCAGCCTAATTAGCTTTGGTTTTGCTCCCTCTTATGGAGACACAGGGTGAATTTCCTACCTTCGTTTCTGACTTGCATTCCCAATGTCTGCAGTCTGTTGGGATGAGGGATTCTTTTTGGTGTTGGGTTTTTCTTTTTTTGTGTGTGGTTTTGTTTTGTTTAGGATATAATTTCAAATTAGATGTCTGGTTTTGCGCTTGCCAGACACAATAAAATCAGTAGGAGCTTGTTTTGTTTCAGAGGCTTTTGTTTGTGGGTAGGTGATAAAGGGCTGAGTTAATTAGGAGGTGAGAATGGGGGTTTCATGCTATCTTGCAGTTAATAACTGCAAATGTTTATTTACTCTCTGGCAAGTTCTGTAACCTCCTGATGTGCATATCAAACTCTTCAGCGTGGTTTGGATTATCATCCCTCAACCGATGTGTTCTGGATGTTGCTCTTTGGTGTCCAGGATATTTGCTGTTTGGTTCTGGAGCAGCAAGTAAACTGTGGAGCCACAGTAAAGCTTGGGAAAGGGCAGGGGAGGTTGTTAAAGATGGTGCTTTGCCCTCCAGCTGGAAATGAGCTGCACTGGAGTTGGGGAATGAGCGTAGAAAGGGATGGAGAAAAATGATTTGTCTGATGTTTTCTAAATTGGCTGTCTCTTTAAGTTAGCTGAAAAACAGTTTTCAAGATGTATAATTCAGTTAATTTATAAGTAGCAAAAGAATATAAAAATAATGCTTATTTCACTATGCTGTTAGGCTCTTTAGGGCTGTCTTTCTTTGCCTCTTGCTCAATTAATTATTGACTAAGGTGCCAGACCGGCCTGCAGAGTGCAAGTGTAAGGCTGGAGAATACAAAGAGTAATAGGTCGCTGTTAACAGATTTTCTGTTCGCTTGACAGGTGTGGGATTATGAGACGGGAGACTTTGAACGCACCCTTAAGGGGCACACAGACTCTGTGCAAGACATTTCCTTTGACCACTCTGGCAAACTCTTGGCCTCCTGTTCTGCTGACATGACCATTAAGCTATGGGATTTCCAGGGCTTTGAGTGCATCAGAACTATGCATGGTAAGGTGAAAGGGAATGGATCTAGCAATCTGTACATTAAGAAGGTTGTTTTTTTTAATCCAGGAAAACTGCTGATGTGGAAAAGGGTTATAAACCAGAGTACTGTCCAAAAGGAAGATGAGGGGATATTGTGATGTGATCTTTGAGTGCTCTGTAAATAAGGTGTATGTTTAATGTCTGTGGCATGAAACAGCATCTCAAATCTGCAGTGCATGATGCTGTGGGAAGCACACCATAATGATACTGAAATGAAATGGCAGTTAGAGGAGTTTAGTGCTAAAAATGAAATGCTTACTAGCCAATAAAACTGTGACTTCAGTAAAAAATTCCCTTCCTCGCCCCCCTATTTTCACTGTACTCAGACCAAACTGATAAAATTAATGATGGTCATTGTAGCAGCTCTTTTCTACACAGTTACAAAACTGGTAGTCCTGAGGTGGTGCTCGCAGTGATGAGTGTCTGATTTTAAAACATCCTAAGGAAAGTTTTTAAACAGTTTTAAAGGATGCTCAATGATTGGGCTGTGTGGTGTCTGAAAATAGAAATGATGATTTCATGAAACCTCAAGTTTGCACGTAAAGTTTATTCCATAAAACATGAATTACTGCTGTAGCTGCTTGCCCAAGATAAATGCACAGCTAGTCCTGTGTGCTCTGTAGAAACTATTACAGTGCTGCTTAATGAAGGTTTGGCTTTGTTTTTAGGTCACGATCATAATGTTTCTTCAGTAGCCATCATGCCCAATGGAGATCATATAGTTTCTGCCTCAAGGGATAAAACTATCAAAATGTGGGAAGTCCAAACAGGGTAAGTGCATTTCTGGCTGAATGTTGGCGCCTAAACAAAGCGAGCATAGACCAGTAGACCACTGTTTGTAGGAAATGGGACACAAGCCTGAATGTCAGCAAACATCACTTGGATTGAGGTACAATATTGTACCCTTTGGAGTAACTCACTTCAGGATTCTGCCTTAACTCGTTAAGCACAGAGGTTTAGGGTTTAGTAGCGACTAATTAAAACTAACGGGCTTTATCATTCTGGGAGTGAGGAGGGTAGAGCACCATAACTCAGGACCAGGTAGGAATGTGACTTCAGTGATTAACCACGAGCTCAAAGGAAGCCTGAGAGGAGGGAGGGAAGTCTGTTACCTTTCTTGATGCAGATTGCTTAAGTTGTGTCCGCTTTTGTTTTGGCTTTTTTGGGGATATGTGTAATTGTTTTGGTTTGCTGGTTGGTTTTGTTTGGGGGATTTTTTACTTGCTGATTTTCTTTTTACTCATCAGTTGTCTCATTAATCCACCCATTTGCTAGAAGTTGTATGCGAGGGCTATCTGAGCGACCTGTAAATCTCTACTTGTTCTTAAAATACCTGTGTAATGCAAGCTGTCGTGCTAGCTTCATTTTTTCCTGGAGCTTCCTGCTTGCTACCTGCACGAGGATTTGCCAGTTCCTAACTGTCACTTTTCTCATGGCAGCTTCCTTTCCATGAGCTGTTTTATGGCCTTGAACCTCGCCTTGCAGGATGGACATGTGCACGCTAAAATATTTTAACTTCTAAGAGTAGGTCAAGCTTCCTTAAATGTGAAAGGCACGTGCAGTGGCTTTGTTAGAGCATTAACCAAGTCGTGCTCTGTTTCTCTTTGTGAACAGTTACTGCGTGAAGACTTTCACGGGGCACAGAGAATGGGTGCGCATGGTGCGGCCTAACCAGGATGGCACCTTAATTGCCAGCTGTTCTAACGACCAGACAGTGCGCGTGTGGGTGGTAGCGACGAAGGAATGCAAAGCTGAGCTCCGAGAACATGAGCACGTGGTAGAATGCATTTCCTGGGCTCCCGAGAGCTCGTACTCCACCATATCAGAAGCTACAGGATCAGAGGTAATGTGCCCAGTGCTAATAACTAAGCACGTGCAGTAAGCTGATCACAGATGCATCTTCTCTGGTTTGGTTACTAAATCTTCAAGAAAGGCTTACTAAAGGTCAGCAAAGATTTCCTTTTAAGTATGACAAAATGTAGAAGAAATGAACTAGAAATTAACTCCAATTTCTAGTTTAAAAAAAACAACAAACAAACCCAAGCATTTCTGCCTTGCCCTTTTTCTCAAAAAGGACACGAGTACCCAAGGGGAGAAGTAGATACACTGAAGACAGGGACTTGTCTAGTGATGGATATTTCAGTTAAGTTTGACTTGTCCTTTAAAGATCCTCATAATCTTTTAATTAACAGTAATTACAACTGGGCTCCCAGTGTTCATGTCCCCAGCAGTGGTGTCTGGCTGTGGTGGGTGCTCCCCTGCCCTCTGGTCACTGTGTGCATCATTGCCGTGTTGAGCTTTGGACGAGCGACTTCACATTTGACACATTTTAAGTTCTGAGAACTCAGTTTGACTTTCATACTTTGCATGATTACAAATAGAAAAAAGTTCAGAGTAGGAACTTTTCAAAAAGTCTTACACTGGCTTCATTACTTTTTATGAGCAATGAGAGCACAGAGGTGTCTGAGCTTCGCACTCTTGTCCTGAGATGTCTGACTGCTTGAACTCTGTCTGCTATGAAAAGAGGATGTCTTGCAGTAGGCAAGTGTGGATTCAAAGTGTTCTTTGGCTTGGTGCATCAGCAGGACACAACCATTTCTTTCAGCAGATTGTTTCATTCCTTTCATATTTTTTGTTTTAGTGACAAAATGCCTGTGACTCTCAGCTGCGTCATTGTGTGTTTATTAGCTGTAGGGTGGTGTATGATCTAACTTTTCTACTAAGAAATAGCACTCAGAAGGGATCTGCTTCCTCCCTCATCTTTCCCCTCCTGCCTTGTATGTGCCATAACTTAAACCATAATTTTCTGCAGACTAAGAAGAGTGGCAAGCCTGGGCCTTTTCTGCTGTCTGGATCCAGAGACAAGACCATTAAGATGTGGGACATTAGCACTGGCATGTGCCTTATGACACTTGTGAGTTCCTTGGTGTTTTTCTGTGGTCATAGCTGCATGTGTGAAATCAGCCTCAATGGAATGAACGATCTCACACGTTTATGTTTTCAAGAGAAGCCAGAATTATTGAAATAAGACAAACACTGGAAATACGCCGTTTTAATGGCTGCTGTATTTGAGATCTTCTTGTTGCTAAGAAATAGTAAGAATCTCATATAGTATAAATGCAGGAGCACGGTGGTGTAGATTTTGCTATGAGTAGCTTGGCTTGTCTACAGAAAATTCAGATGATTATCAGCCTTTGTCTTCTATGAGGTGTTGTGTTCTTTCAACGCGTGGGTCTTCCCGCAGGCTGTGGGCTGCTGTTTTCCAGCCTGTGTGGAGGCTGGGCTGGGGAGCAGAGTCGGTGCAGACCACACGGGGACTTGTGTGTGTTTGCCTGCAAGGACAGGAGCGTGTTGTCGGTAGTGCTGATACAGATGTCATAACAGAAATGAATCCTCGCAGAGACAGGGCAAGGAGTCGCTCAGTTTGCCATAGTGTAAACTGTAGAAAGTTTAGCCCTAAAACATGCACCTCCTGACCGGTTTCTCCTTCTGCACAAGGTGGGCCATGATAACTGGGTACGTGGCGTTCTGTTCCATTCTGGAGGAAAGTTTATTTTGAGCTGTGCCGATGACAAGACTCTACGCGTCTGGGACTTCAAGAACAAACGATGCATGAAAACCCTCAATGCGCACGAACACTTTGTTACCTCTTTGGGTAGGTATTGTTCTGCAGCGAGTGCTGCAAAGCGCAGAGCCACAGACAGACACCTTTTTCCCCATGGTCACCAGCTGAGGTTGAGCACCAAGACAGAGGCTCTCACCTTTTGGAGCCCGGTTTTGGGCTGTGTGTATTCTAATCAGATAAGGACAGATGTGAACTGCAGGTGTGCTGGATTTTTCCACTCCTGTTGCCAGTGTTGCACACTGGATAAAGACATTAACTGGTGCTCTGCTCACCACTGAGTGTGTGGGGATCTGGGGAGTGCTGTAGTGCAAGTGCTTGCCAAGCAAGAAGTTAAAGCCAGGGTGGTGCTGAGGCTTTCTGTACAGTGGGGCTTTGTGATTCCTCTGGGTTGAACTCCCCAGCACCATCTGCTGCCCCACTCCAAAACTGATTTGTATGTATGAAATATCTCGGGACCTCAATACACAAATTTCTGTTTTCTGGTAGTATTCGAGCATTTCATCAGTTTGAGATGTTTTGGAGTCCTCTTTATTATAAGTTTATCTGGATTTCTGTTCCATGAAAGCTCCTTTATAACGGAGCTGAAAGTAGATTTTCACACTTTACAAAATTATGGCATGAGAGAATTACGGAAGTGGTGAGCCTTGACGTTTAGTCTTTGAGCTGGTATCATTTTATTGAAAAAATGATGACATTCGGTGAGTGGAGAACGCTGAAGTTCTGGGTTCGTTCTTAACACGAGCTTTTCTTTCCTCGCAGATTTCCACAAGACGGCACCGTACGTGGTTACTGGAAGTGTAGATCAAACAGTAAAAGTGTGGGAGTGCCGTTGATTGAATTCACATTTGACCCCTTTTTCCTCTGGATGCACTCAGATACCATGGTTACCCATTGAGCTCTGTTTAAATAAATATTGTCCTTTCATGTAAATTATTCTGGATGTAGATTGAGCTTATTAAATGTTACACACAAAGTATTCATGCATGGTGAATCCAAATTGTATACTGTAAATTTACATACGTTGTCTAGAAGTACCATAGGTTTAAGAACATGGGCTGGCATTGGTCACATCAGACCTGAGAAGGCAGAAGTTGGATAATTGAAATAGGGCACTTAACTGAATAGTTGACAGTGTCGTTTATGTCGGATAATTATTCCTGTTTTTCTTTCTGCTGTCTGTTGGTGCCTGAACTGGTGACCTCATTTGGGAAAAGTTTTGTAGGGCTCTTTCAGAATTGTGTATCTATGTAACATCACTTAAGTGTGCTTAATAAATCTTCTCTAAGAATACTAGATAATAAGGCTGCAATTCCGAATCTTCTGAACCTTATATGTAATTAATGGAAATTAATTAAACTCTGGAATACTTGTCATGAAACATTTGCCAAACCAACAGAACACACTTGTTTTGGCCTCCTATCACGCAAGGGTTGGTATATTTATATAACTAACTGTAAACCTGAAATAAGACAGCAAATCTTAGTAGCAGCTGATGTGATAAATGTATTTATTTTTTATTTGGTCATTCGATGGTTAAGCTGTGCTGTTAAACTTCAGTTTAAGTGGGGTTTTTGTTTGGGTTTGTTTTTTTTAAACGCTAGACAAACTTCCAGGAGGAGTTGTCCATCCTCTAGAACTTAGAGATTCGCAGTAGAGCCGAGTCTCCAGGTGACTGCCATGGCACCTCGCTGCTTGTGTCTGCTGGGACAGGAGCTCCCGGCACCAGCAGTGTCGGGGTGCGCGTCCCTGCTCACCTGTGCAGAGGTTTGTTCTTTAGTGCCTCCTTGGAAACCCTTTTGACAATGCGGTTGTGCTTACCTTGGCAGGACAACGTGGCTCCAGTAACATCCTGTGCTCTGCATATCGAGAAACACCTTGGGATGCAGTGTTGAAATGCTTTAAAGAAAGCACTACATAACTTGAGAATCAGATTGTAATGGCAGGTACAGATTGATATGGGCTTCTAAAAGGAAACCAAAACGCCATCAACAAAACAAAGTCCATCTGTGATGCTGTCAAGTAAACATTTAGAAACAGCCAAACCCCATCAGCAAAACTGGCCCGGCTTGGTTATTGGTATTGATGTTTTTGGTGTATACAATTTTTAATTTGCATATCCCTAAAGTTACATATTTTGATCCGAAGTGAATGAAAGTATTATAAATTAATATTTTAATCAGCATTTTGGTGACAAATTCCACTGTAGGTAACTAAAAATTACAATACTTATCAGACTAACCAGGTCTTTTAAAAAATCCACTTTAAAATTTCCAGTATGATGAAGTACCAGTCTGATGTTTTAACAGGTGCATTTGAGCTGTATTTTATTCATTTTGTTTAATTCATGGCTTTTAAAACTGTCCCTTTTAAAACCAGAGCCCTTGGCCAGCACGGGGGCGGCTGGAGGCGCCGAGGGGTGCGGGGTCGGTGCCGCAGTCGCTGTCACGCATCCGCTCTGCGAAGGAGGTGGATCTGGGGCTGGATCCGGGCGGGGGGACACGGAGCCTTGATGGGGGGTTGGAGCCCGGCTAAAGTTCAGGCTGATCTCTTAAATCCAGTGGTTTCTGTACTTTTCAGTGTGTGTTTCTGCAATTAAGCATGCACAAATAAAGTATTTTTTGTTTGTTAGCTGCTTGGACTGGAAGAATTTGCTGCTTTTTGTCCTATTCGAGAATTCCAGATACACAAGTAGTGCATCTTAAAATTCCTCAGTGCATCTGCAGCTGTAAAGTAATACATCTGTTTAATTCCTGATAGGACCTGAAAACCTTATTTAAGTATGAAGTAAACCACGCTCGTGTACATAATTCATAAACATGAATGAGAAATTAAAGGTACCTATTAAGTGGAAGCTGTCTACTGCGTTTTTTCCCCTTAGCGTGCAGCTGTTTGAGGACAGACAACTCGAGGCGTGTAAGCAGCACTGAATGGCCCCTGTGAAGCGCTGAGTACTTCAGCCTCCTCCTGCGGGAAGCAGTGAGTACCCCCAGGGGTGTGCTGGGTGGAGCAGCAGTGGAAGCCCTGGTCAGACAGGAGCGCTGGGTGTTGAGGGTTCCCGCGGTGTCGCTCCGTCACCGTTGATTTTTCCACCGTGTTGAATCCCCTCTGTTTGCAGTGTTTTCTGTCAGCTGGTCCCGTGCCTTTCCTGTGCTGACAAGTGCAGTAAGGAGGTTACTGGTGTGCATGGCAAAATGACGTTGTTACGAGGGTTGAAGAGGTTCACTGCTGCTTTGTCGCTTCTGTACTAAAATTGGCATCTCTTAAAACATAGCTGTGTGTAGAGCGTGGTAGCAGACGGGCAATACAGGCTGGCTCCAAACCAGACACATCCCAGTGCCACGCGAGGGTGACGTGCCCAGGTCTTCGGCGCGTTCGGAAAAGCGCAGTGTTTATTGTGGTTTAGGCACGATCTGGGAGTCGATGTTTTCTAGCATCTCGCACTTTAGAAGATTTAAAAAAAGCCGTCCTGCTTCTGTGTGTGGTGTGACCAATGATGTGCCCGGGGCACTAATTAAAGAGAAAAAGAAAAAGAAAAAAAAAATCCTAGTTGCTAGCGAGTTGTGGAGGGCTGTGGAGCTCAGCACCCACTCCTCCTCGTGAGCGGCCCCAGCGCAGCACCCGTGAATAGCTTTGGGCTCGCGGGAAAGCTATTTAAAAGAGAAGATTATTCTTTGTTTTTGTAGACAGTGGTGGCTTGATAATCCTTTTAATGATTTGAGTATTAAAAAAATGCTGAGTTGAGGGAAGGAAAACTGCACTTAGAGTGAGTTCTTTGCTGTCTGGCTGTACATAAAGTCCAGTGTATTTAAGAAGCCGATACCAAGAATCCGGTGCATTAAGTGGTAGGGACGGAGGTGCTGGAGTGGGGAGGGGCGAGGTGGATTTACAAGTCACAACTGGATTTTATTGGCCTTTTTTCCTTCCACTGTGTCATGTCCGTAGCTGCTTCCTTGTCCTGCCCATCCCTCGGGCTCCCCTGTTCGTTCTGCAGAGAATTTAGCAAAACCTTCACCTGTAGGAGTTGATCCTGACATTGGCATGAAGGCAAACGTCAGATCTTTCGTAAGAGCGATGTTAGAGGTTGCAATTGGAGAAAACAGTTCCCAGGCTGTAGGAGTTAACTGAAGCTATTGACACCGTTTAGAAAGAGAGACATCAGTAAGGAATGTATATAATACTGCTCTGTGTTTTACAGTAAGATTTGTTGCTCTCAGACTGTGTAAAACAAAATTTATTCATGTTTTCTGCATATTAAAAAAAATCTTATTGTACCAATTGGTAAACTATTAAATGCATATAAAACTAGATGTGTTTTTGTTTCCTTGGATGCAAGAATTAAAACTATTTTGAAAAAAGCTGCTGGTGTTTCACCCTTCGGATGTTGCTCCACCCCTGCTTTTTCTTTTGTAGAAGCTTGGTTTAAACTGTGCTCCATGGAGATGTGAGGGATTTTTAGGGTGATGGGTTACCAGGAGCCGAGCTGGAGGTTTTAGTGGCTGATGTGGTGAAGTTTTGTAGAAATGTGTTTATGGGGGGGCTCAGCCATGGGGTGCACCTGGGGTGTGTGGTGGGACTGGGGTGTGTGGTGGGGTCTGTGTGTGCAGGGGGGCAGCACTGGGAGCTGGGTTTGCTCATTTTGTGTTACAGTTTGGGGGTTTTTTGTCAGTGGTCAGGTTTTTCCCCCTCACCCCTGACTGTTGATTTCCAGCGGCCCCAGGAACCACTTTTGGCCATTTCTTTCCCCAGTACCCAGAGCCATCGGTGCTGAAGGCTGCGGCGAGGCCTCCGTGGCTTGGCGTGGGAGCTGCTGCGGGCCTGGGTGAGTGGCTGGGGGCTGAGGAGGCAGCGGACGGGTCCTGAAGTGGTGTGGCCATGGTGTGGTTTCAGTCGCTTTTACTGCGGTGTGGCCTGAATTGCTGTGAGTGCAGGGCTCAGCGAGCCGCAGCGCAGGACCTCAACCACGATGTGGGGAAAATGGGACGGAGCTGCCCCAGCGTCCTGCACCAGCCTCCCGCAGGGTGTGATGGAGCAGGAGCAGAGCTGGGCTGGGCCTTGGGGGAGACTGACTCATGTGGGACAAACACCTGAATTTTGGGCCGTGCCGGGACTTGGCCAGGCCTGGCTGAGCGAAGGGGTGGCACAAGACGGTGTTGGGCTGAAAGGGAAGGCCCTGTAGGTTTGCAGACAAGTGAGCTTGGCGAAAGGAAGCTGTGAGGGATACCAAAGTGTGAGGTGCCAAGAGAAATCGGTGTAGTTGAAGTGGTTTTCCTCTCTCCGACTTGGTGACTTGAGGCCGGGTGCACCTCACTGAAAGCGCTCTCAGTGAATGAGAGGTTTCCACCAGTTGTTTCCAGTTTGATGCAGCACTGATGTGCTAAAACCTTTTTCTACAGATGAGTTAGTATGAAAAGCAATCAGATGTACAGGAATTGTGGTCAGTGGTGGGCATAGAACAGACTCAGCTGAGCAGGCTTACTACTCAGACATGGTTATTTAACTGCTACTGATGGCACTCAAGCTGCATGGCCTCATAGCTGGGATCTGCATCCTTCAGCTTCAGTTCAGGGGTTGCAGAATTCGGGTGCCTGTGCCCCCTTCCCCACGCGCGATGGAGCAGCAGCTCCTGGTCCTTGCACCAAGGTGGCTCTGCAGCCGCTGCTGCCCGAGGGCAGTGCCTGCAGTCCCTGTTTTATCAGAGTTTTGAGGCTGGTTCCTTGGCCCACAGGGGCACTTTGTTCAAGGAAAAGGGTCCAAAATGGACCAAGAGCTTTTGGTCCTGTGCAGTGAAACCACCCCGTGTGCACACACACCAGCCTCGAGCATCACTGGGGGCAGTGAGCCAGGGGACACCCGTATCCAATAAATAAAGTACCTAAAATAGTTTAAAAAGCTTTTAATGGATGGAAAGACACTAGTAAAAGAAAAATCTTGTAGGAAAGATGCACTGTAGTCATTTATTGATTGCTTTCCAGGAATTTCAGAATTTTTCTACTAGGAGCAAGTTCTTTTGCAGTGAAGACTCCTCCTGCTTTGTCACCTCTCAGCGCGGAGGCGGCTCCCTCCCCAGTTACAGACGCCTGCGATGCTGTGCAGGGAACGCGGTACAGAGCACAGGACAGCACTTTTCTCCAGAGGGTCAGTAAAAGCAACGGGAATTAGCACAGGGCACTGTCCACAATGCAAGGGACGGGACGGGATGGGGTGCCTGGGGCAGCACCCTCAAAAATGACATTCACCTCTGTCGGCATCCCGCAGCGGCCAGGGGAGCGGCACTCGGCACTGATGGCCACCAC